ACATAAATTTAACCATGGCTGGCCGCCATGGTAAAACCCCTTGTGGAGAACCCTTGTTTTCCTTGTTTAAGGTTAAAGTTTTTAAATAAGTACTGAATTCTCCAAAGTCAAGGTCTAAAGGTCAAAATTGTTGGTAAGAAATAAAAAAAAACCTTGCCAAAAAAAACCCCATAATTTTATGTGAAATATGAAATTCCTAGTTTGTACCATTCAAAAGATATGGTCAAGGTTTAAGTTTTTCATAAGTATGGAAATCTCCAAGGTCAAAAAGGTCAAAGTTGTTGTTATCCAATTGAAGGTATTGTCACTTAAAATACATATGTGAAATACGAAGTCCTAGTATCTGACCTTTCAAAGTTGTAACCAAGGTCAAAGTTTTTGAAAAGTAGGCCAATCTCCAAGCTCAAGGTCATATGGTTAAAGTTCTTGGTATCCAGTGAAAGTTCTTTTCACAAGGATTACATATGTTAAGTATAAAAGTCCTAGCATTTTACCGTTTAAAAGTTATGGTCAAGGTTAAAGCTTTTTCATTAGTACGGAAATCTCAAAGGTCAAGGTCAAAAGGACAAAATGATTGGTATCCAATGAAAGGCCTTGCCACAAAAATACATATGTGAAATAAAAAAAAGTCCTTGTTTCTACCACGCAAAAGATATAAGTAAAAGTTTGGAATATTTGTGTAAAAGTGGGTCAAACTCCATAGTCAAAAGGTCAAATTTGGTGGTAACAAAAGAAGGTCTTGTCTCTAGGAATACATATGTGAAATATTAAAGTCAAAGCTCCACTTAATCAAAAGTTATAGGCAAGGCTAAAGTTTTTGTGACGGACTGACAGGCGGACAGCCTGACAGACTGATAGACTGACGGACAGACGAATGAGATTTAATGTCCCTTCGCTTTCGCGAAAGCGGGGGACAAAAAACCAAAGGAAGGAGAAAAAAACTCATGATGTAAGTAAAAAAATCATTTAATTTTCAGAAACTAGTACAGTATTACAATCATGACTTGATGTTATGTTAACCCACTGCGACTTATAAAACATCAAGTAGGATTAAATAAGTACTTTTTAGTGTTTTTATATGCCCCCTTTTCGCTACAATAAAGACTACCTCTATTTTTCTCTTAATTTTTAAAAAGAAGTATGAAACTTGCATGATATATGTCAAAAACGAAACATTTCATCATTTTTTTTTTCAATTTGTCAATTCCTTTGCTTTGAGCGGATTTTTTTCTATGTAATTGTGTATTAAACACAAAAAATGGTCCATATTTTGACAGTGAACTCATTTCAGTGCAATAAAGATAAGGTAACAAAATTTCATTCTATTTTTTTTTTTAGCATAATACATGCAAATATATTTCTAAGAATTAGAATTTTGTATCATTAAGTTTTCGTAATTTCCAATTAGTTTTGAATACTTTTAATATTCCACAGAGCCAAAATGAATTTGAACTACCTTATATATATTGGATTCCGAAACTTCATAAGAATCCTTACAAACAAAGATACATTGCAGGTTCCAGTAAATGTTCAACCAAGCCTCTTTCGTTACTTCTCACTAAAATATTGACAGTAGTGAAGGAAAAACTTCAAGAGTACTGTGCAACTATGTACTCAAGAAGTGGTGTAAATCAGATGTGGATACTTAAAAATTCTAAAGAACTTTCGGACAATTTGAAATCACAAGACTTTTCAAAAATCAACAGCTTAAAAACTTACGACTTTTCAACTTTATACACAACGATTCCCCACGACAAATTAAAATCCAGGCTTTTTGATATCATTGACAGCTGCTTCTTCAACAAAAATGGAACTCGTAAATTTACTTACCTCGTCATTGGTCATTTGAAAAATTATTTTGTTAAAACAGATTCTGATTGCACACTTAAGTACTCTGAAGTTGACATCAAGAAGATGCTTGAGTTTCTGATTGACAATATCTATGTGGTTTTCGGGGACCAGGTATTCCAACAATCCATTGGAATTCCCATGGGTACAAATTGCGCTCCGTTATTAGCAGACTTATTTTTATATTCATATGAAGCAGAATTTATACAAAATCTTATGCGTGAAAAGAAGAAAACACTTGCTGTGGCCTTCAACTCGACATTTAGATATATCGACGACGTGTTGTCAATTAATAATGATAATTTCCATTCCTACGTCGATACGATATATCCTGGTGAGCTTGAGATAAAAGATACCACAGAGTCCGACACTTCTGCTTCATACTTGGATATTTTACTTGAAAAAGACACTAATGGTAATCTAACAACCAGGCTATATGATAAACGTGATGACTTTAAGTTTTCTATCGTCAACTTCCCTTACTTATGCAGCAATATACCTTCATCACCTGCATACGGAGTATATATATCTCAGTTGATTCGATACGCAAGAGCGTGCTCTACGTATGAACAATTTCTTAAACGAGGTAAATTATTGACAAGCAAGTTGATGAAACAAGAATATCAACAGTCTCGTTTAAAGTCATCATTTCGTAAATTCTATGGTCGATACAATGACCTTGTCAGCAAATACAATTTATTATTGAGTCATATGCTGACTGACGTTTTTCATACCAATTGTTAGTCCATTATTTATACACTGAATTGACGACGGATTTTTTCCGTTATTTCCTGATCATGACAACGAGCACACGGCGGGTGTGACCGGTCGGCAAGGGATGCTCACTCCTCCATGGCACCTGATCCCACCTCTGATGTTTCAGAGGTCCGTGTTTGCTCTGCTCTTATTTTGTATATTGTTTAATGGACGTTGAGATTGAATACTGTTCGTTATCTCCATATCCTTCTTTTGGCCTCGTTTACATATACAATTTTATCATTGAGTCAAATGCTGACTGACATTTTGTTTTAATACTTATGATTAGTACATTATTTACACACTGAATTGACGACGGATTTTTCCGTTATTTGCCGATCATGATAAGGAGTATGCGGCGGGTGTGACCGGTCGGCATTTGATGCTTACTCCTCCATGGCTACTGATCCCAGTTTGATGTTTTCGAGGTCCATGTTTGCTCTGGTCCTATTTTGTATTGTATTATGAACTTCTGAGCCTAAATACTGTTTGACATCTCAATTTTTTTCATCCAAAATAAATTAATGTTTAGAGCTGTTTTCTTTGATTTAATATTGCGGTTCAACAGAGTTTAAAATACGTAGAATTTACTTCATGATGAAGAAGAAAATATTTGTATGATTTGATTTGAAGATATTTTATTATGTTGCAATTATATAAACGGATTTGGCAGCAGGCATAGCCTATATAAGCCTTCTCCACAAATATATTTTTATGAAATTAAATTACTTACTAGTACATAAACATGGATGACCGATTCGGTAAAACAATTTTCTATATATTTTGTTCATTGTTAAATAAATTCCATAAAATTCACTTTTAATGTTATTTTTTCAGCTAAAAACAAAAATGCTGAATTTCATATTTTTAGTCACTTTATACTGTATATGATAACCTCCATTTTGATAAAATTTGATAAAATCCGAAAACGCCAGAAAAAGAATACTTCCGAGGCATCCTGAACTCATTCTACTGCTGGAAATAAAAACATTTGTATACAATAAAATATTTTCTTAACCGATGAAGGAAAACATGTATTTTCTGTATTCCAATTCATACGTCCATTTACTTCCTAAGTTCTTTTTTCTAAAACTACATGTACATATTCCTTTTCTTTTAAGTCTTGATTATTTTCCTTGATCTTGAATCCTTCCCCCACGACTTCCGTGTATAAATTGGAATTATTAAAATTTGACTTCATAATTATTTCATAACATTCTGGATGAGTTGAAATGGGAACAACGCTGGCGTGATCATAATAGTCCGCTCTATCTGTTTCCTCTTTTTCATTAAGATGATTATATAATTGATCCTCCATTTTTTCCCTTTTCTGTCCACTATTTTCATATTCATGTTTGGACCGAGAATTCTTTTGACTTTGCTAAAAAAAGATATATAAGTGCTACGTATACCAGAAAACCAGTACCATAAACCGATCATAATGTTTTCGTAAATTGAGATTGTCGTTTTATATAAATGAAGCATCGATATATTAATTTTAAAAAGACACAGGACATACGATTTGTGTAATTTGGGTATACAAGTGTCCCGTTGGTTTCTCGTCATACTCCATGTCGTAGGGTACTTTAAGTGAACTACAGTTATAAGCTGCATTACTTGTCAGCTCGACCTCCCCTGTGTCTCTGAAAAGATTTTTTTGTCTGAAAACATACATTTAAAAGATATTTCTATGTTTTCTTTTGCCATAACTTGAAAAGTGTAAGTTTATGTTGCTTTAAAGTGACGATTTTCAATGTCTACATGATGTTAGTTTTTTTAAATTATAATTTTACTTTTATTCATATCACTTATTACTTTCCTTATCAATGATATTATAATATTTTAAAATTAAAATTTGTTCTATTGGTTGATACATAATTGATAAAATTAAAACAAAGTTTAGCATGTAATCAAGACTACTCAATTATACATATATTTGGGAGAGCTGTGAATCATAATTATTTTATTACTTTTTTCATCCTTTCTTAATTGTGCTCTTCTGAATAAAGTTGTGATAAGAAATTCCAACACAGCTCCAAGTACAATACCACCTAGTAAAGCTCCGATTACTGCCCCATATGCTGTTAATATGAAAAAATTGACTGTATTAAGCAAATATATTTTAAAATGGGCCTTGGCATTCATTCTATTTTTCAATTTTTAATTTTACCTGTTTCGTTTTCCGAAGAGCCTTTGAAATACTCTGAAATTAGAATTATGTTGAGTGGTTTAAAAGAATAACTATAGATAAAGATATAGATAGTCACATTTACACAATTTAAAAATTCCATAATAATTAATAATTAGACCTTGTTTAAAATTAGGCAAACATGTTGAATTTTTATTTTCTTCTGTTTGCTTTAATTCGGTTGTAGAATCTGTCTCCTTTGAAGTTGAAATGTCGGTACCCGATGTTGTTGTGATAACTTTCCTTGTGGCTTAAAATGATTGTTCACAATAAGTTTTTTTAACAAAGATAAAAATCGTATCCAGTCAAATAACATTAACTAATTTAAGGGACTCCGACCCTCAGCCAGGAAGGACAACTCTTTAATTTATAATTTTATTCAAAATGTCTTTAAATGGAGCTTGAAAATTAAATATTTTTATGCAACAATTTTCATTTTATGCCTCTCAATGTGCTTCAAAGTTCTTTGAACTTCTCAGAAAGGTATAATTAAAAGTAGAAATTTTTATCCCGAAAAAGCATTTTTAGATTCCAATGTTTATTAACATGATATGAAATTAGAAGTGATTTATGGAGCTTTGCAAAGAACCTTGAAGCACATTGAGTTGAATAATTTTTTAAGATGACTTAAAACAAACACCTTTCTAGTATATTGATTTGATTAAGACTTCGAACATTTGCTACCTTTCACCTTTGACAGTTATTATTGCTGCTTTATAAAGCAATAATAAACCGTACAATTTTTTTGCTTGCTTGCTTATTAATAAATACCTTGATGAGACTTTTCATTCCTCTCAGATATGTAATTAGACCTCAGTAGGGTATATCACTATGTTTTATACGCACTTTTTTTTCTAATGCGTGCATGTTTTGTAGCATACATGTACTAATCAATTCATTTCCTTCAAAGAAATTTACTTTGTTTTTATGTACGTGAAATGTATTTGGAAGATTTTATACTTCAGAATCTGTTTGCAATATAACCTACTTTATTTTGCGTTTTGAAACTGAAAAGACAGTCTTCAATAGCAAGACAATAATTTATAGATATTTTGCACATTGTTGTTGTACATATTAGTGAACTGTGACTACTAACTTTTTGAGTCAGTGACAGTGTATGCACCTGTCCTAATATGTGATGACACTTTCTGTGATATTATAGGTGCCAAATTTCTGAAAGTAGCATGGCTAATATATAGTTTCTGAGGATCTTCCATTGGGATTGACATTCCTTTCACATATTTACATAAATCAATTATAGTAAAGGATACTATAAATTAAATTTTTCAAGTTCTGCAATTCGCTTACAAAGTTGGCCAAGTAGTCAGGACTTGTTTTTTTATCAAATAATGAACTTCTGAGAGTATTTCTGAATGAGCACGGAATGATTCTATGTTTACTTATGTATATAACCATTAAACCAATAAATACCTATAAACAAAGTCCCTTGTATATAAGCTTGTATGTAAATACAATGGCCTACAACAACATTATTCAAATTTATGTAAATAGTTAGTATGAATGTTTCCCAATCATTTGCTTTTAGTAAAAATATTACCTTATTAGGCATTCTTTCTTTGTGTACAGGCCTTTGTATTTATGACTCTTGACTCTTTGATACTGGTATGACTTGCTGTCGATAATTTGCTAAGTTGTAAAATATGAACATAATTTACACTAAATAAACAAGTAAAAATGTAATTGTTTACAAAGAAATCAAATTATGCATATGTTCTCATTAACATTAATCATAAAAAATGATTAACTTTTGTACACTAATAGTATGTGTTTCACATGATGCTCATTCCCTATTGGGTTGGAAAAATGCACCTCGCTGGCTCATAACACAAATTTCAAAGTGCTCAATATATTCGATTTTTGGATTATGAGCCTAGATTTAACATTTCTGCGATTAAAAAAAAAACTCAACTCTAACTTAAAAAAGCTCAATGTTCAGATGCGCTGTATTTATTAAATACAGCCCAGAACATGAACCATACCCATGGTTCACATTGAACGTTTACTGACCACGTGCTTTTGGCGTCCACGAATAAAAAGACGAAAATTGCAACCAAAAAAAAATCCATTTAAGTACTATTAAAGCTGAAAAGTATTTATTTCATTACCTGAGAGTCTTTTGTGCATAGTTATTTACAGCTGTAAGGTCGTAGATAACATGCGGCGGTTTATTTTGCTGATCCGTTCTCGCTTCGCCTCGCGTCGGCCATTGTTTTTGTGACGTCAGCCCCCAATGTTTGCCCCCAGTCCAAGATGGCGGCCAATAACCTTGATAGTGTCTTTTACCTTTGACTGTTTCTTCATCTGAGTGGATCATGACTGCAAACATTTACTGGATTCTGCGTTTTCGTGTGAAAAAGAAAATTATATCAATTCATGTTATAAATCTATATCCTATGTCGATATTTCATTATAATTGTTTATTATACCATTGCATACAAACATTTCTTGTTTAACATTTTTGTTCGAGGACGAACAGTTTATCAAAGGAGGGAAAGATGTATTGATGTGAAATATATGTGTTTTATGGACTGTGAACTCATGGATACGTAAAAATATGAACTCTTGTGATTATACAAGCATTTAATATGAAATGTCTATTACAAATACAGTACATTGTGCAAATTGATCGTAAATACCGGCTTTGATGTGTGTCTGTCGATCACGTTGTTTTCCTTTTTGGTCATGGTGATTCAGAAGATTCGAACTTACAAGAGGGGTTCAGGTTATTGTACTTCGTCCTCGAACGTCATTATTTTATTACTGTTAACCTATACGCAACATATATTGTAAATTTTCATTCATCTTACCTTTATTGTTTATTATTATGTATTTGTTTTACGGTTCGTATTTTTCATGGTTTGTCCCACTTCAGCGATGTTGTTAGTATCGTCTGCCATTTTGGTCTATACTTTCATTTTGGTTAGGTAAAGCGCACTGCGCATGTTCGGTAGTTAAACCCTATGTAAGCGTCGCCACAGACTTTTGACTCTGCAGAACGTCGGCTCAACAACTTTCATAGAAATTGTACGTAAATACTGATATAACTAACGCTTGAGGAGGTTTTACTATAGGTTACATTTACCAAATAAATTTATTAAGGAATTCAACAGTCTCTACGAAGTTTTTATATAGTTTACATTGACCAGATTTAATAAAATCAATAGTTACTTTTTTGCCAAATCATAATATGTGACCAAATCATAATATGTGACGTCCGATCTGATCAAATGTATTACATCACCATGGATTGATTATTTGGTATCCAGTCATCTGAATTATATTAATTACGTTAATTAAATCATTGTTGAAACTTTAATAATCTTTATCTTGTGATCTTGTTTGCCCATGCATGGCAATATATTACTGACCAACACAGGGATTTACCTTACCAGATCAACAAGGATTACCCATATAACAACTTACCAGGAATTATCATATAATGGTTACAATGAAATATATATCCTTCATTGGTGATTTGATCAATCATAAAAGCCTCATACCCCGGGCACGTTACACAATGCTTCACAAAAACATCATGTTGTTCCACAAACAATGAACTTAAACTAAACATTTAATAAAAGTGATGAAACTAAAAGAACTGCTTTTCTGATCAAAAAAATAATTTAAAGATAGAATAAATAATTTTTGAAATAGTATAAGAAATTAGAGTTATAGGGTAAAATTTCTTAATAACAACATTAATTTTTAGATTAAAAAAAAAACAAGCATACGGGTACAATAATATTTACCTGCATCTTTCGTCATCTCGGAAATCTGTTGGCTGAGACACTGGTCAACAATGCAATTTTTTATTGGTTCTGAAATTGTATTCAGGTCATGGTACAAACAAAGTTTTATGTTAGAAATTGAAATTAACATTTTGAGTCATGTTTACTGAGTAGAGAGAAAATGTTTCACCTTGTGCTTATATTTTTAAGTCAAAATTTCACAATAATGAGATTTAAAGAGACAAAAGTTTATAAATTTATATTGAAAAGTAGAATTTTGAATGATTATTAAGAATCCTTAATATTTAAGAATATTTAAAAAGCAATATTACATGTATTTGCATCATTTGAAACAGAAAAGACAAGCATAAATTATAAATTTTTGTTGCAACATCTGTCTTTAAGACATACGAGGGTTGTTCGAAAAGTTCGTGGACTACTGTCATATCTTTTTTATTTGACGTCATATGTTATCCAAATTTGGTAGAAACATTTTAACAATAAATCCAAAGGATATGAATTAATTTTTTTTTAAATACCACGATTTTTTCAAAACTTATCCAGAATTTAAAAATGCAAAAATCGTATCGCGGAGCAGGTCAAAATTTAGTAAGTTACGAACAAACACTATATAATGTCTGAAGTCATATTCTCTGTAAAATGATGCAAAAAGGAAAAACAACCGAGAAATCCAAATTTAGAATTGATAAATCGATTTCTATTCCAAATCATGGCTTAATATTTTGCTTTGTTGAAAAGAAATCAACTTGAGAAGATAGGCAGTCCTCGTTAAAAACGACAAAAACGATGACGTTTTATAACGTCACGGAGCAGCCGATAACGATACAATTTTGTCTTTTACTCAGGAAAAATCTTAAATAAACTAAAAAATACTGAAGGAATCAATAAAATATGTCACAAGCGAGTTGTACATGTGTGTACAAATCGTATAGGCAGTATTTGAGTGACAGAGACTTTGTATGAGGTGAGGACAATCTGCGAAGAAAAACGTTTATCTGTAAAAATCTTAACAAAAACTTTAAAAAGTTCGAACGTCAAGTAAAGACATGGGTGCTTTAGAGTTGCCTACCCTGTGAAAGCAAAGTTAAGTAATAAAAGAAATTAAAACCCTAACAGAGGAAATAATACACCGAAAGCAATTCTTAAAAAATGAATTTCAAGTATTAGAAAAGGGATCAATGATTGGGCATTCGATTACACTTTGTGAAATGTATAGGAATAGTATATAAATTTTAGAAATTCTCGACACTATATTATGACGTTACATTGTCGTTAAGGGTGCTCCGCGGGTACAAAACATGCTGATTTTAAAATGACGTAGATTGATTTCTGTTAAATGGAATGGAATGAAACATCACACATCAGCAAAACAAATGTTTTTACATATTATATTATCCTTATTTTGAATTTCTAATGAGTTATATAACGAAGATTGACATCGTCCACGAACTTTTCGAACAACCCTGTATGTATCTATCTTATTTGATAAATCGGTTTGAAGCTGGATACCTATAGTTTTTTCGTTCATGTTGCACTCGATTATTACATTTCTCTCGTTGTACAGTACCCGCATCGTTATTCTTTACAATTCTATCGTGTTCTGTCGTGCGTGTATCCTATCGTATCGTGCGTGTATCCTATCGTATCGTGCGTGTATCCTGTCGTATCCTATCGTATCGTGTTTTCCGTTTACAAGGTTTTGCGTTTTCTATCGTGTTTTCCGTTTATCGTGTTCTGCGTTTATCGTGTAGATCGTTTATCAGGTTCTATCGTGTATCGTGTGTTGCGTTTATCGTGTATATTCGGAAACCCTCGCATTTTATCTTTACTTTGTAAAGAAACTACTGAGCTGTTAATAAAAATAAGATTAATTCAACCGAAAAAGAGAAAATAAAGACTTATCCCACCTTTTTCATCAATATAAGAAATATTAAAGCGTAGAAGGAAAAAATAATTAATTGATTTATTAATAGATAATTAATTAAATAAATAAAATAATTATATCATGGTAAAGCAGAGAGTAATTGTCAAAATTTAAACAGTAACTCTATTTTTCGGAAATGAAATTATAAGTAGATCGATCAACTGGTCTATTTCTTTAAAAAATAATTCATCGAATTGTATGATTTATTTTGTCAAAATTAAATACTATTAATATGATTTACACAAATGAATCGGAGTTACCGGAGAAAGATTTTTGGTAAGCTCCGATGTTCGCGTAGACAAAAAGTAAATAAATAAATAATAAGCAGATATTGAAATGTATCTTTTTATCATGCAGTATTCTGTTTTTCCTTGTTTATCGTCTGATAACGTTAGAAATATGTTTATGCGTCTGACCTGCATGTATGCACAAATAATATTTAAAGTCTTGATGTTACAAATATAATATAACATAAGACAATGATCCAGATGATTTTAACAACGATTTTGGCCGTATACGTTCAAATTTTAAATTTATTTTTTAAAGCTAATTATAAATTCCTTGACATATGTCTAAATTAATAAAAGAAATCAAAATTATAAAATATAATCAATGAAAACAATCTACCCAATTTATCACACCATGGCTGTTACTATAAAATAGAAGATTTTCATTAATTTTATCTGCATTAGATAACATAAAAATAATATATACATGTACAGGGGACAGGAAGTTTTTTAACAGCTTACCTTTTCGGCGTGGAAATAAACTCAAAATATAATCCATAGGGATGCCAAAATTCAAAATTAATCAAAGACCTTTCCTTACAAGAAAACTGACAAGTATGTGTAGCTCTCTAATTAGCACATTGTCTTCCTGTGCGGTCAACCGCCCCCTCCCCCTTCTCCCGTAACTGACACCTCGGCCCGTGTGTGTGTGATCACCGTCAACATACCTGTACTGGTTTCTCACCCGGGATCAATTAGTAACCTCGAATACTACCTGGTTCTAATGAAACGCATCTACTTATTTTCGGGATTTTGTTCCTAACTTGTTTGAACAATTTTGTCAAAGATTAAATTCAAAATACATTTAAAAAATGTACGATTTATGGATTAAAAAATCATCTTGAATGTTAAATAAATATTCAAATAAATCAACTTAATGAAATGAAGTCCATAAACTCACTCCGTTGATTCTTTTTCATTTCTTACAATGTTTCCATTTTGTTTATGTAAATAAGTCTTTTAATAAACATAAAAAAAATACACTGCACTTATGGTACGTGCACTTTCGGGTCATCGGGTTTTCTACGTAAAACGGACAAAATTAATTCTAGGAAACAATTTCATTGATCGTAGAAACGGATGAAATAGTTCTAACATTCTAAACTTTGAAAATTAGATCGCAATATTTTTTAACGGTATCTTACAATAAAAATAAAACAAAAGGAGTCGTCTGATCCGCCATGACCATGCAAGACTAATAAATACACTGAATCGATTTATAGTATTAATCGATTTTATTCCATTAAAACATACCTTTATTTAAGAATTCAATATTATATTTGGCTATTTGGTTAGATTTTGTTTATCTAATTTTAAATTGGTTGCGGACTTTCAAAATACCGCCCTTCCAATATGCCTAATATGAAATTACCGGGTCAGTGTAAAATGATTTTTAAGGTTTATTAATTCATTTGCCGAATTAAACCTATTTTTCGTTATTATTAGAAACAGTAGAGACAGAGTTTAATAGCAATGATTTATAATTATTTAGTCGGAAAAGACGCATTTCACTCTTTTAATATTTGTTAATTAATTTTTCTGTTTTGTATTGTAAAGAAGAAAGTATTTAACCATTCAATGTTCGTTAATAGATACGAGGTTTTAAGTATCTGTAATGTAAAATGTTTACAAGAGCTTAGCGTAAACGTACATGTGCAGTTGTAGCAGATTCATATTCTCATGACACAGTTTACATGTATAAATGCAGATCGCCATTATTTTAATAATTATTTAGATTTCTTTTCAGAAAATTTAATTTTCTTGAACTGTTTCGTTCTTGATAGATCTATCATGTTAAATTTATTAATTTTGTTAAAGCCGTTTTCTTTAAACCTTTCTTTCGGCCAGTCTTCTACTTGTATTAGTTTCTAAGATATTAATATTTAATTGCAATTTTTGGATACATCGCAGATTGTAAGCTTTAGACATTAAATACAAATATTTAATTTATTGCGTAAATTTCTTCCGTGAAATAACTTGGTACTTGTAGATAAATTCATTAGATAGAAAATTAAAATGTATATTTTTCATAAATAATAAATCTGTTTATAGACTTTCAAAAGTCACACACTTGAGAAGAAATTTAAAAAAAAAATACAGTCTCCATTTCATAAAAATCCATTAAATCACTGTCAATTTTTTTATATATATATATATATATATATATATATATATATATATATATATATATATATACAGTACCCGCATCGTTATTCTTTACAATTCTATCGTGTTCTATCGTGCGTGTATCCTATCGTATCGTGCGTGTATCCTATCGTATCGTGCGTGTATCCTATCGTATCCTATCGTATCGTGTTTTCCGTTTATCAGGTTTTGCGTTTTCTATCGTGTTTTGCGTTTATCGTGTTTTGCGTGTGACGTGTAGATCGTTTATCAGATTCTATCGTGTATCGTGTTTTGCGTTTATCGTGTATATTCGGAAACCCTCGCTTTTTATCTTTACTATATAAAGAAACTACTGAGCTATTCCGAGTTTCTTTTTCGTTTTGTTAATAAAAATAAGATTAATTCAACCGAAAAAGAGAAAACAAAGATTTATCCCTTTCTTTTTCATCAATATAAGAAATATTAAAGCGTAGAAGGACAAAAATAATTAACAGCGTATTCCATGAATGAATAAATTGATTTATCAATAAATGATTAAATAAATAAATAAAATTATTATAATAATTTATATTCAATTGTCAAAATTAAAACAGTAACTCTATTTTTCGGAAAAGAAATTATAAATAGATCGATCACCTGGTATATTTCTTTAAAAATAATTTATCGAATTGTATGATTTACATGTATTTTGTCAAAATTAAATACTATTGATATGATTTTCTTAAATGAATCGGAGTTACCGGAGAAAGATTTTTAGTAAGCTCCGATGTTCGCGTACACAAAACGCAAATAAATAAATATTAAGCAGGATATTGATATGTATCTTTTTTTCATGCAATATTTTTTTTCCTTGTTTATCGTCTGATAACGTTAGTAATATGTTTACGCCTTTGATCTGCATGTATGCACAATTATTTAAAGTCTTGATGTTACAAATATAATAGATCCTGATGATTTTGGCCGTATACGATCAAATTTTAAATTTATTTTTTAAAGCTAATTATAAATTCCTTGACATATGTCTAAATTAATAAAAAAAATCAAAATTATAAAATATAATACATGAAAATATTCTACCCAATTTATCACACCATGGCTGCTACTAAAAAATAGAAGATTTTCATTAATTTTATCTGGCATTAGATAACATAAAAATAATATATATAGGAAAAAACATGAAGTTTTTTAACAGCTTACCTTTTCGGCGCCGAAATAAACTCAAAATATAATCCATCGGGATGCCAAAAATCAAAATAAATCGAAGACCTTTCCTTACCAGAAAACTGGCACGTGTGTGTAGCTCTCTAATTAGCACACTGTCTTCCTGTGCGGTCAACCACCCCCATCCCCCTTCTCCCCTAGCTGACACCTCGACCCGTGTGTTTGATCACCGTCAACATACCTATACTGATTTCTCACCTGGGGTCAATTAGTAACGTCGAATACTACCTGGTTCTAATGAAATGCATCTACTTATTTTCGGGATTTTGTTCCTAACTTGTTTGATTAATTTTTTATTTGATTAATTTTAATTTTAATTTATAAAAATTCAAAAAAATCAATTTAATGAGATGAAGTCCCTAAACTCACTTCGTTGATTTTTTTCATTTCGTACAATGTTTCCATTATGTTTATGTAAATAAGTCTTTTAATAAACTTAAAAAATGTACTGCACTTACGGTACATGCACTTTCGGGTCATCGGGTTTTCTACGTAATACGGACAAAATTAATTCTAGGAAACAATCTCATTGATCGTAGAAACGGATAAAATATTTCAAACATTCTAAACTATGAAAATTAGCTCGCATTATTTTTTTAATGGTATCTTACTATAAAAATAAAACAAAAGAAGTCGTCTGATTCCGCCGTGACCATGCAAGACTAATAAAAAATCCGAATCAATTTATAGTATTGATCGATTTTATTCCATACGTATATAATTTTATTTAAGAATTCAATATTATATTTGGCTATTTGGTTAGATCCTGTTTATCTAATTTTAAATTGGTTGTGGACTTTCAACATCCGCCCTTCGAATATGCCTAATATGAGATTACCGGGTCAGTGTAAAATGATTTTTAAGGTTTAAGAATTCATTGCCGAATTAAACCTATTTTTTGTTATTATTAGAAACAGTATACACAGAGTTTAATGGCAGTGATTATAATTATTTAGTCGGAAAAGTCGCATTTCACTCATTTTGATATTTGTTAATTAATTT